ATTTCTAGTTTTATTATTTTCTTTCTTAAGTTTTTGATTCTTCATTTCAAGTTGGTTGACTTTCATAATTTTCTTGATTTTCTTGGATTGCTCTTTTTTTTCTTCTAATCTTTCCTCAATATCTTTTATTTTATTTTAAAAATCCTTTTTAGGTTCTTCCAAGAACTCTTTTTGTGCTTGGGACCATTTGAGTGGCTTTTTTTTTTTTAGCTCCATTATCTTCCTCTGAATATGAGCCCAGATCTTCTCTATCCCCATAGTAACTGTTTATGGTTGGGTTCTTTCTCCTTTGCTTACTCATTTTTATTCATTTATTTAGCAGCTATTAGTATAATTTAGCTGTAGTCTCAAGGTATAGAGAATGATGCCCCAAATCTCAGGTCCTTCTTACTGTTATTTTGTGAGACCTATCCCAGGGCTCAACCTTGGGCTTTCTTCTCCACTCCCCAGCCACGTTGTCCTGCAAATGATCTTGCTCCCTGTGTTTTCTAAGGGCTGCAAACTACAGCTGTCCTTTCTGCCTTGGGACTGAAAGCAGAGACTGTGCTTTCTTGCAAGTGCACACAGCCCGCAGGATCCCTGCCCCTCTGCTAATGCACTCTTCAGGTGTGTACTAGTTCCTTCTCCCCTGCAGCTGCAGCCAGGGACTGTTTGGTCAGCACAGCTATGCTTGGCATCCCTCAACAGTAAAAGGTCCTTCAGATTTCTCCTACTTAGCCTTCAAACCCCAACAGTGTCCACCAGAGGAAGTTTCTGAGGCTGAGGCTGCCCCCTCAACCCAGCTGCCCTCAGGACTTGTTGTTTGTTGATTCTGCAGTGTGCTTCATTCAGGCTGAAACTTCTCCCCTGGAGGTTGAGTCTTTCTTGGGGTCTTCTTAAGTTGTCTTAGGGGGACAACTGCTTTACCCCAACTTGTGTTTATTTCCTCTGCTTTATGTTCCCTCTGAGGCAATGTTCTGTCTATTTTTGTGGAAGAAATTTTGAGAGCTAAAAGTTGAATCCTCTCAGCAAGTTTCTCACATTTTATTTCCTAAAATTTTATGTGAATTAATAATTATGAATTATAATTAGTGTTATCCACAAATAAATCATAAAAACCTTTATTAATCAACTGTCATTTATGAAGCACTTATTAAGTTCCAGGGACTGTGTATTTAGTGCTAGAGATGCAAAAAGTGACAAATAGCAAACAGCCCCTGCTTTCAGGGAGCTCGCAGTCTAAGGGAGGAGACAGCAACAAACAACTATGTCCAGAAAAGATATTTAGAGGATAAGATTAAGAAGGACTAGGAAAAACTTGTTGCAAACAGTAAGACATATTTCAAGGAAGCCAAAGAAGGTAGGAGGTAGAGATGAGTAGGGAGTGAGTTCCAGGTGTGGGAAAGGGACAGCTACTAAATACTCTGAATTGAGAGATGGGAGTGTTCTGTGTGAGGAACAACACGGAGGCCAAGTGTCACTGAATTATAGAGTATGTTGGTAGGGGTGAGGGATGGGGTGTACAGTGTAAGAATACAGGAAAGACAAGAAGGGGCTAGGTTATGAGTGGTTTAAAAGCCAAAGAATTTTGTGTTTGAATCTGGAGATATAAAGGAGCACCTGAATTTATGAAGTAGAGAGGTGACCTAGTCAGACCTGTGCTTTAGGAAGTTCATTTTGACAACTGAGTGGAGGATGTAATTCAATGGAGAGAGACCTGAGGTAGGGAGACCAACCAGCAGGTTATTGCAATAGTCCACGTTTGAGATGATGAATACTTGTACTAGACTGGTGGTTGTGTCAGAGGAGAGAAGGTGGCATATATGAGAGATGTATGAGAGAGAGAGAAGTATGAGATAAGACAGAAACAAAAGGACTTGGCCTCTGGCTACAGGTAAAGAAACTGAGAATGACACCTGGGTTGTATGCCTGAGTGATTGGAAGGATGGTGGTACCTTTAATAGTAATAGGGAAAGTAACAAGAAGGTAAGGTATAGGGGAAAGATAGTGACTTCAGTTTTGGATGTGAGTTTAATATGTCTATGGGACATCCAATTCAAGATGTGTAAATGGCAGTTGGAGATATAAGACTGGAGGTCATGAGAGAGGTTAGGACTGGACAAATGAATCTGAAAATCATTTGTATAGAAATGGTAATTGAAGTCATGCAGATTCATAAGATAAGAAGAGAAGAATGCCCAGGGCAGAGCTCTATGGCTCTGTGTGACACATGGTTATCAAAGTGTTACCTGATGAAGATGGAGCAAAGGAGACTGAGAAGGAGTGGTCACATAGGTAAGAGGAGAACCAGGAGATAGTAGTGTCCCAAAAACACTAGAGAGAAGGGAGTATCAAGGAGGAAGTAATTCATGGTGTCAAGGGCTACAGAGGTCGGTAAGGATGAGGACTGAGAAAAGACCATTAGATTTGACAATTATGAGAACATTGGTAACTTTGAGGAGAGCAGCTTTACCTCAGTGATAAGGTATCCAGACTATGAAGAGTTAAGAGAGTGAGAGGAAAGGAAATGGAGGTATCTTTATAGATGTCCTTCTCCAGGAGTTCCACCAGAAGAGAAGAGGGAGGAGAGAGCTATAGGATGATAGAAATGACAGGACTTGTGAAGATGGTTGACTCAGTTGAGGGTTTTTTGAGGATTAATGAGTCATGGGAATGTTACAGCCAGTAGGGAAGCAGCCAGTAGAAAGGAATAGATTAAAGATGAGTGAAAGAAAGGAGATAATAGAGCAATGTGCTGGAGAAGATGGGATGGAACAGGATCACTTCGACATGTAAAGGGATTTGCCTTGGCAAGGAGGAGGGCCAATTTCTTCATATGAGACAGGGGTGAAAGAAGGAGATAGTAGCAGAAGGTATCTTAGTGATGTCAGATGAAGAGAAGGGTAAATTTGTTGGTCTTTTCAGAAAAATAGAGCTAAAACTAGTTCAGACACTGTAGTTGAAAACTGTTGATGTACTGGTCTAATAATTTCTTTCATGAAATGAGTTTTAAACTGTTACCTAATATACTTTCCTTAATCTTCAGTTTTAATTGTAATGCTTTCTGTTAAAATACAATTTTTAACCGTTTTGCTTTGTTGTATTTTTCCAAAAAGATATTTGTCACATTTTTCAAATTAAATTTTTATTAATAACCTTTGTTTTTTCAATGCCTACATTTCTTTCTGTATATGTATCCCTCTCTTGTTCAGAGATCCATCTCCTTTTTTTTTTAAAGAACTTATAAAAAAAGAAAAGGAACAAGAGGAGAAAAAAAATCACTAAGATTGATCAATACATCAAAAAATATGATAATCTTTTTGTTATTTTATCCCCTGGATCCCTCTACCTCTTCAAAAGCAATAAGGGGAGGGGAGGTGTTTTCTCATATCTCTTCTTTGGGGCTATCTTTGTTCTTTGTAATTTTGTAATAGTTTTCAGTTACTTTATGGTGATGTTTCTTTTTATTTACCTTGTTGGTATCAGGCTTATTGTTTGGCTCTGTTTACTTTACTTTGCATTTGTTGATTATAAGTCTTTCCATGCTTTTCTACATTTATCACATTTATAATTTCTTACAGCACAGAATATTCCATTACCTTCATGTACAACAGTTTTGTTTACCCATGACTCAGTTGATAGGCATTTACTTTGTTTCTAGTTCTTTTCTATCCCAAAAAGTGCTGCCATAAATGTTTTGTTTTTATTTGACACTTCCTTTTTATCAGTGTTGGATTTGGGGTATATAGCAGAGGCAGTTGATAGCACAGTAGATTGAGTGCTGGACCTGGAGTCAGGAAGAAAAGACCTTAGTTCAAATTTGGCTTCAGACACATACTAGCTGTGGGACCCTGGGCAAGTCAATTAACCTCTGTTTGCCTCAGCTTCTACATTTGTAAAATGAAAATAATAATAACATCTATCTCTCAGGGTTGTTGTGAGGATCAAATGTGATAATATTTGTTAAAAGCACGGGACCTGACACATAATAGGCACTATGTAAATGCTTATTGCCTTCCCTCTGTAGAATTTCCATCAAATGGTATGGATATTTTAGCCTCTTTATTCACATAATTCTATATTGCTTTTCAGAATGCTTGGATCTTTTTATATCTCCAATAGTGTATTAGTGTGTCTGTCTTACCCCTTCCAGTCTTGACTGTTTTCTGTTTATTACCATCTTTGCCAGTTTTCTAGGGGTAAGGTGAAACCTCTGGGTTATTTTGAATTGCATTTTTTTTTAGTTTTTAGTGATTTGAAGCAGTCTTTCAGATGTTAATAGTTTGCAATTCTTTTAAGAACTGCTTGTTCCTATCATCCAGCCATTTATGTATCAGAGAATAGTTTTTGGTGTTACATTTTAGTTTTTCATATATAAAAATGCATATATACATATACGTACACATATATGTATACATACATAAATATATGATAAACTTTTATCTGATAAATTTGTGGCAAATGAATTTTCCCATTTTACTTCTTTCCTTCTTGTCCTAGATGTAAGAAGCCTTTGAATGTCATGTAATCAGAATTATGTCTTTTATATTTTTTAATTGCCTCTATCCTTTGTTTGGTTAAGAATATATCCAGTCATAATTATGAAAGATATATGTTCTACTTCCCTTATAAGCTGATCTTTAATATTAACGTTACATATCCATTTTCAGTTTATTGTGTAATATAGTATAAAACATTGGTCTGAACCTATTTTTTCTAGACTTCTTTCCAGTTTTTCCAGCAGTTCTTATCAAATGGGGAGGTTTTTTCCCAAATAACTTACGTATATGGTTTATCAAAAATTGAGTAATTTAATTATGTTATTTCTGATTGTATTTTATCTAGTCTGTTTCATTTATGTATTTTTGTAACCAATACCAACAGGTTTTGATGACTGCTGCTATTACTTAGTTTTTAAGAGAAACAACATCTTTTTGTTAAACCTTTTAGCAGAATCTGCTTATTCAGTGATAATATTGACTATTTTACATTGATATCTTCATTTCTTTTTTTTTTCAAAGAATATCAAAGAATATCCCAACAACTAAAGATGTTGAGCCATTACTTGAAATTGATGGTGACATAAGGAACTTTGAAGTGTTTTTGTCTTCACGAACACCAGTTCTTGTGGCTCGAGATGTAAAAACCTTTTTGCCATGTACTGTAAACCTGGATCCCAAACTTCGAGAAATTATTGCAGGTGGGTAATAGTGATTAGATTTTTTTTTCAAGTGTGTAAAGTTCTCATGATACTTGAGGCTCTCAAAGCTTCACTATTTCTTACTCAGTTTATTAAATTTCTCCTGGGACAGTGGGTGGCAGCATGATTTACTGCTTTCTGTGCATTTTGTGATCCAGCTACACTGACTTACCAGCAGTTCCACATAACACTCTATCTTTTTGGTCTGAGAGACAGCATGATGAATTCTGGTCCTGACTCTGCTAGTAACTATCTCTCTGATCTTTGGTATGTCAGTTCATTCCACTGACTTGAGTTCCTATCTAGAATCAAGAGGTTGTACTAGTTTTCTAAGATTCTTTCCAGTAATAAATTTATGTATTTTATAGATGACTCTGATAATGCTGTATCTGTTTTTGATCTGCCTTTTAAGGATATATTGTAAGGATAAATTCTAAGATGTATTGTAGGTAATTAATACCTTATCTTATGGGAGAATTAAGGAGTTATAATAGCTAAAATAAGAACTAGCTATAGCACTGTAAGATTTGCCAAGTGTTTTACAAAATGTGCTATTATTATCCTCATTTTGCCTTTGAATGAGGAAGATGAAGAAGAAAGAGGTTAAGTGACTTGCCCATAATTACATGGGGAGGGCCTCTCTGAAGCTGGATTTCAATTCAGCTCTTCCAGACTCCAGGTTTAGTTTTGTATCCTCTAGGTCACTTAGTTGTCTTTTTAATAGATTTTTCATAGAATTGTTGTAAGCATCAAATGAGACAATATATAAAGCACTTTGCAAATCTTGAAGTACTATATAAATCTTAGCTATTATTACCAAATTATTTTTTCCTATAAGATTTCTTTCTCTCTATCCATCTCTCTATCTTCTTTCAAGGGAATTGTGAATTTTTAAATGAAAGACAGGAAACTATTAAGATAACTTCACTTAAATAGCACTGGGCTTAAAGTCAGGAAGACCTGTATTCAAATCCCACCTCAGACACTTACTAGCTGTGTCATCCTGGATTTAGCCTCTTTAGCCTCAGGCTCCGAATATATAACATTGAGGAGGTTGTACTTGATAGTCTCTGAGATTCATTTCAGATATAAATCAATTATCCTTCAAAATAATAGTATTAAACATTAGATTTCTTAAAGAACAAGTATACTTACACTTTTAAAACAAATAGAATTTGGTTATCTTTAACATTAATCCCTAACTATTAACAATAGCAGCTTAATCTAATCTGATTCTTATTCTTCTTTCTAATGTACTTTGATGAATTTATTATTTAAGAAAGTGAGAAAATTATACTTTAGTTTTCACTGAGTTCCTTAGTACTTTCTTTGGAGGTGGTTAGTATTTTTTTCATCATGAGTCCTTTAGAATTTCTTGGATCACTGTAGTGTAGCTAAGTCTTTCACAGTTGATCAACATTACAACATTGCTGTTACTGTACACAATGGTGTCCCAGTTCCTCTCACTTTACTTTCCATTAGTTCGTGTAAGTCTTGCTATATTTTTTTCTGAAATTACTCCCTTTGTCATTTCTTATAGCACAATAGTACACAATCACAGTCATATGCCACATATTCAGCCATTCTCCAATTAATGAGCATCCCCTTAATTTCCAAATCTTTGCCACCACAAAAAGAGCTGCTATAAATATTTTTGTACATGTAGTTCCTTTTCCTTTGATCTCTTTGGGATATAGACTTAATAGGGGTATTATTGGGTCAAAGGGTATGAATAGTTTTATAGCTCTTTGGGCATAGTTCCAAATTGTTCTCTAGACTGATTAGACCAGTTTATACCTTTGCCAGCAGTTTATTAGTGTGTCTGTTTTCCCTCATTCCCTCTAACATTTGTCATTTCTAACAAATGTAAGAGGTTACGTGATAACTGTTTTAATTTGCCTTTCTCTGATCAGTAGTGACTTAGAGCATTTTTTGTATGACTATAAATAACTTTGATTTCTTCTGAAAACTGCCTGTACATATCCTTTGACCATTTATCAATTGGAGAATGGCTCTTATTTTTATAAATTTGACTCAGTTCTTTATATATTTGGGAAATGAGGCTTTTATTAGAGAAACTTGCTTTAAATATTTTGATATTACTTCATTGTTTATGGTACCTTTTAGCAAAATAGTTTCCCTGATTATTTCTTTTAATTAGATTTCTTTTTCCTTTTCCTTTTCTGATATCATGATTGCTACCCCTGCCTTTTTTTTTTACTTCAGTTGAAATGTGATAGATTCTTCTCCAGCCCTTAATTTTAACTCTGAATTTGTCTTTCTGTTTCAGATGTGTCTCATAAATAACATATTGTTAGATTCTGGTTTCTAATCCATTTTGCTATTGGCTTCCGTTCTATGGGTGAGCTTATCCCATTCACAGTCACAGTTATGATTACTGTGTATTTTCCTCCATTCTATTTTTTTCTGTTTATCCTTCTCTCTGTCTCTTTTTTTATCCTGTTCCTCTTCAGAAATCTCTTTTTGCTTCTTTTTTATCTGCCTTCCTTTTTATCATTCTCTTGCCTCACTCTCCGTTTTCTCCTCTCCCCAATATATCTTATCCCCTTCCTCTCCTATTTCCCAGTTGGGTAAGATAGATTTCTATAACCAACTGAATGTGTGTGTATATTCTTCCCTCTTTGAACTAATTCTGATGAGAGTGAAGTTCAAGCATTATACACCCATCCCTCTTTTCCCCTCTACTATAAAAATTCTTCCTTATGCTTTTATGTGAGAAAAATTTTCCCATTCTACCTCTCCCAACCTCCTTCTCCTAGTGCATCCCTCTTTCTCACCACTTCATTTTTTTTGTAGATCATCAACAAAATCAGCTCATACTTTTGCCCTCTGTCTATGTAGATGCCTTCTGACTCTCTTAATAATAATAAAGTTCTTAGGAGTTATATGATTTATCTTCCCATGTAAGAAGGTAAACAGTTTAACTTTATTGAGTCCTTTATGATTACTCCTTCATGTTTACCTTTTTTATGCTTCTCTTGAGTTTTGTGTTTGCATGTCAAGTTTTTTACAGTTATCCCTTCCACTTCATGGGGATTAGGGACATGGTGCCCCACAGTCTGGAAAATCTGTGTAAAATTTTTTGTCTCTCTCTTCATACCAGAGAAGGAATCTGAATTATTATGGTATTAAAAGATAAAATATATTGATATTAGATAATACTATACATATAGTTTATGCATTTCTGAGCTTCCGAACTTTTGTGTGTCATCTGTAGCTTCTGCAATACTTCCTCCAAAATTCCCATTTAATTTCTCATGCCAACCTGTAGTATATCAAAACTGCGATGGGAAAAGTTACTATGTGGAAGGGATAACTGTATTCAGCTCTGATGTTTTCATCAGGAATGCTTTAAAGTCCTCTGTTTCCTCAAATGTTTATTTTCCCCCCTGAAGGATTATAATCAATTTTTCTGGGTAGGTTATTGTAATCCTAGCTTCCTTCCTTTCTGGAATATCATATCCCAAGCCCTCTGATCCTTTAATGTAGAAGCTGCTAAATCTTGCGTGATCCTTACTGTGGTTCCATGGTGTTTGAATGGATACTTTCTGGCTGCTTGGAATATTTTCTTCTTGACCTGGGAGAACTTGGATATAATGTTCCTTGGAGTTTTCATTTGGAGATTTCTTTCAGGAGGTGATCAGTGAATTCTTTGGCAGTTTTCTTTATATTTTCTTGAAAGATGATGTCTAGGCTATTTTTTTTTTTTGGTTACTGATCATGGTTTTCAGGTAGTCTTATAATTCTTAAATTATTTCTCTTTAATCTATTTTCCAGGTCAGCTGTTTTTCCAGTGAGATATTTCACATTTTCTTCTATTTTTTCACTTTTACCTTTCCTTTATTGTTTCTTAATGTCTCATGGCATCATTAGCTTCCTCTTGCCCTATTCTAATTTTTAAGGAATTATTTTCTGCAGTGAGCTTTTGTATCTTGTTTTCCATTTTGTCAGTTTTACTTTTTAAGAAGTCCTTTTCTTTGGTGAATTTTTGCACTTCCTTTTCCATTTAGCCTATTCTGTTTTTTAAGGAGTTCTTTTCTTCAGTAAATTTTTATGCCTTTTTATTTACCATTAGGTATTCACAAATATCTCCAGGTCTTTGTCATAAAAGCGGCTGTCTTACTTTGCTTGCCTTATGTTGTAAAAAAAAAAAATGTTTGAATCCAAATGGAAGACATTTACCCCTGTTAAATGTGTGAAACATTTTGATTTAATGAATAGAAAGGGAACTTGTATTCAAATTCCACTTCTGATACAAACTGGTTATGTGATGGTGGGTGGGCAAGTCACTGAACTTCCCAAAATGTGACAGTCAGAACTAATACTACAATTGCAGAATAGGTGTTGATCTGCATTGGTTGAGGAATTTTCTTATATACAACATTCCTTATCTGTTTTATATCAAAATGTAAATAAAGTTAGCCTCACATGGCCTATTTTTATGCAGCCATGCTACCTCTTTGTCATCACCATTCCCCTTTTTATATGTTTGCTAACTATAGCTTTAATAATGCATTCCACAATTTTAACAGCAACAGTAATAATAATGATAATAATAACAATCGCTAACATGTAATGCTTACTATGTGCCAGGCACTGTGATGAACACTTTACAATTACTATCTCATTTGATCCTCACAACAATCCTGTGAGGTAAATGCTATTATTACCCTCATTTTACAGATGAGCAAAGCAAAAAGGGGTTAAGTTACATGACTAGAATCACACAGCTAGTAAGTGTATGAGGCTAGATTTGAACTCAGGTCTTCCTGACTGCAGGCTGCAATTTTTACCAGGAATTGCAGTCAGATTTGTTGATGTATAGTTTGTAGGTACCATCCTTTATCCAGTTCTAAAATGGAGACATTATTTATCTTCTCAGTCCTGTGTAGGCTTCCTGAACCAACTGAACCAGGTAGTTTTCTGCCTCAATTGTTTTCTCTTCCCTTGGGCCTCACTCCCCAAGTAGTTCTTTTATCCGAATTTCAACAGAAACAAGAAAGTAGTGAGAAAATCTTTAGCCATTTAAGGGAAAGGAAGATTTGGTAACGGTTGAAAGGAGTCATCAGTGTAAAGGGAATTTGAAAGGCTTTAACGACTATAAAATACAAAATATTATCAAGATTTATTTTAATAGAGTTAACTGCAAAGGTTTTAATTTAAATTCTAAATTCTTAAGTTGAGAAATTTTATTTTTCTTTTTCTGGTCAGGAAATAAATGTAATTACTGAGTATCAGTGTAAGATTAATAGGAAAAACTTTGTGTCTAGAACCTTAAGGTTTATAGAGCATTATCAGGGATAAGTAAATAGGAAAAATGTGACATGTCCCTTGGAAAGTTGTATTTTAAATTTCCTGAAGTTCCCTAGGCATTAGGAAGTCCAAATTGAGCCCTCTTTCCTATGTTTGGCAGAAATGTGACATTCTAAATGTTTTATAATAATTAAAGGTTTCAAGTGATTTATCATGTAATGTTTATTTTCATTCTGTCCTGCTATTCCAACAAGAATGTTTTCTGGGGAGCAGCAGATACTCCTGTCCCTAATAGCTCTTGTAGAGTGTATATTTTGGTGGAGAGAGGAGACAGAGTCTGCCTCGCCAGCCTAAATTCACATTTTCCCTTTGTTACTGTGAGCAAACCAGACTTCTAGGTCTGTTAGTCAAGAAGTATCAAGTAAGCTCCGGTTATGTTCAAGTGGCCCAAAATAAGAAGGGATAGCTAATATACTGGATAATAGATTCACGAACCAGAACTATAAAGATCTTGACAGGGCAGCATTATTTACTTTACGTTCTTCTCTATCATTCTCTGAAACTAATAGCTTCCATTGACGTTCAGTTCAAGAATTTATTCTCTAACTGTGGAATAAAAGTTGTCTGTCTTGAGAGCTAATTGATGAATACAGTCATGAAAATCATGACATCAAAATGGTGAAAAGGTCATATTGGCAAGTACTTATACTCTATTAATTATCATCAAGGCTAGAGTAATATATGAAAATAAAAGAACATGGTGTAAGGCCAGAGACCTTAAACAGCACTGCCTGTTAAAGAGATGAAACAGAACACTAATGAGAAGGAGAAGATGTGTTCTCCATTTATGCTAAGTAGGTGGGTTATTCTGTTTTGGACGGCTTAGAGAATTTTGGTGAGGGAAACCTTTCCAACGTTCTTATTTCTGACAAGTTAATAATGTTATCTTTTTTTTTTTAAACCAGACTAGCTAGTTGAGGGAGTGGAGTAGTAGGTTGACTGACCTGCTCAAGAGAAGGCACTTTGATTTCCTGTACCATTATTCTGTATTTCTCATTTGATACTTAACATTATCGTATTATAGTTATTTTTACATGTACATGTCACTCCTAAACTGAAATAAGTTCCAAGGCAACAGCTAGCTTACAAATCTTATTTTTTTTAATATCTCAAAGTGCAATTCACTTAGTAGAGATGATGCTAATGATATGTCATAAAGTAAGAGTGATCCCATTTTGTGTGAATTCTCTGTAACTTTGGGTTTCATTATGCTTATGGCTTTAGAAGCTGTTTCCAAACTTAGCTACTGGCAGAATATCAAGACAGAGATTTGGAAATCAAAGTGACTTAACATAAAGTATATTGTGCTTTAGTACTAGCACCTTTGCTCCTAGAGACTCAAACTTTATGTTGCTGCCTTAATTTTGTGCCACTGTGTTTTTTAAATTATTTTTAATGTGATAACTAGGTGGCCCAGTGGATAGAACACTGAGCTTGGAATTAGGAAGATTCATCTTCATGCATTCAAATTTGGCCTCAGACACTCTCTAGCTATATGAGCTATGTGAACCTGGACAAGTCACTTAACCCTGTTTACCTGTTTCTTATCTGTAAAATGAGCAGGAGAAGAAAATAACTAACTATTCTAGTAAATCTGCCAAGAAAAGACCAAATGAGGTGGTGAAAAGACCAAATGAGGTGGTAAAAAGTTGGATACGAATGACTGAACAACAACAAAATTTTTTAATAGTGTTTCATGGGAATAGAAGGAGTTATCAAATAATAGCAGACTTTATTGACAGCCTGCATCCATCTCTATACCTTATGTTAGGTTTTAGGTGGAAAAAGTTTTTCTGTCAGGTGTTATGTTAGTGATAACTGACTATTAACTCTAATAAGCCTTTCCTTTTAACATACTCAATTTCCACAGCAATGTGTACAATTGAAGTTAAACTAGCATTAGACATTGGACATTTTCAGATTCCCTTGGAGAACACGGACTATGAACAAAATAGGATTTAAAGCCACATTGATTATTTCCCTACTAATGGTGCTAAAGTACTGTAGGTGTTTTGACATAGCATATTATCTTCAGTTTGTTTAACAAAATGGAAATTATGGCAATATTTTAAATTTTGTTGCCATTTGGAAATGGCCTGTTACCTTTAAAAAACTGAGACTAGCAACAATATCTTACTTTGCTAACTAGACCTAGTGATTTTGTATTTCTAAAATGGTTTTTTTTCAACAAAGAAACAAAAGGCTATTTTGAAATTGATCCTCTAATTTTCTCATTGATCAACTGAGTTTTAATCATCTGAATTAGTACTGCCCTTTCTTTAGCACCTCGTTTCTAGAGGTCTATCAACTCGCCTTAATTATATTAATACTTACTTTGTATAAATCAGCAGTTCTTTAATTTCAGATTTCTTTGATCTGAGCAAGTCAAAATCATTTATCCTACTTGAATGTGATATGAACTACAAAAAATAATAGAGATTTAAATTATATTTTTCTTTCTTTTCAATGTCTGTGAATAATTCAATATTTTAGATGTTCGTGCTGCAAGAGAACAGATTGGAGGACTTCAGTATTCCACTATGCAGCTAGATGTGAATCATCGAGCCCCGTCTCCGTTTAGTCTGCCTGCAACTCTGAGTTCTTCAACTTCCTTTAATGGACCGTTTCCTGGTAATATGATATCACCACAACCTCCTAGCAGCTCTTACAGTGGCCTGACAGGACCTCAGCATCCCTTCTATAACCGGGTAAGTCAATGCTACTGCCTTGTCATTTCAAGAATTGGCTTTCAGTGTGATGCCATAATTAAGTAGTTCGTGGTTTCCTTTTTTTTTTAAATTGTATTTTGTTCTTAAAATATAAAGGAAACTATAAAGATTGTATTTAAAATAGTTGACTATTGAGGTAAATATTCAAGAGAGAAGAGAGAAATTAAATTAGAATGAGTTCTAAGTATAATCGAAATATAAGATGTACTTTTAAATTTCATAGGGAAATAATTTTGACATAGTGTGTATAATCAGGCAATCGGAACTTGTTCTAATATGCATACATCTTCTATAACATATACACACTGATATAAATAGAAACATGATTTAACTTGAAGATCATCCTGAGTTTTTGTTTATGCATATTTCACTTGTCTTGTTTAATGTTTTAAATTGACATTTGAGATAGCTAGGTGGCAGCGTAGCTGTGGGTAGAACTCAGGCCTGGAATCAGGAAGACCTGAATTCAAATGTGGCTTCAGACACTTATCGGTTGTGTAACCCTGAGCAAGTCACTTAGCTTTGTTTATTTCAGTTTCCTTATCTGTAAAATGGGGATAATAACAGTACCTACATACCAGGGTTGTTGTGGATGAGTTGAGTTAATATTTGCAACAAGAACAAAAAAAAAAGATTAGCATAGTGCCTGGTACACTCTAGGTAATCTATAAATGCTCATTCTCTTCGCCATCCTGCTTATTTGGATCTTTCATAAACTTTGGTCAATTTTTTGTTTTTGGTATTTTTTTTGTACCTCAGAAAATAAAGTTAGTAAAAATAGAAAACTACTGAAATTCAGAACTCAGAATTTTTAGTGTTGATTTTTATAGTTAAATATGACATTTTACATATTTATGAATGTAAAGTAAAATTTGAGAAGCATGAATTTTTTCTTACAAATGTAAATTTATAGGGATTTGTGCTTGAATATAAACAGTATAATCTATATGTTATGATTGTCAGTAATATAGAGCTGCTAATTCATAATAAATGTGTAAAAACTACTTTTACTTTCTAGAAGTTTGCACTCATGAACCATGACTTTGGACGCACTAGGGAATTTGTGACTGGGGAAATGGAAACCAGCTTAAATAAATTCAAACAGGATTGATCTTACACAACCAAATTGAAGAGGAAAGAACCATCTTTTGTTGATTAGTCATCCTAAACATAGTTCTTGCATCGAGGCAAATTTGGTAAAACTTAGATTTGTGCTTTGTGGTTCCATGGCAGCAATTTATCTTCAACAACCTCCATGCTGAGTTTGGGTTCCACTACGACTACCTAGGGCCATTGCTGATAGGAAAAATCAACCTGCCAGAATACATTACATTTAGGATGCTATGCAAGGGCTGTTTGATGTAAAGAATGCACAGTTTATGAGGATTTTAAAAATATTAATTTAAAAAAGGAAACTCAAATAAAATTGAATATGTAATTAGTAAGGTCATTGGCCACAGACATCTTATGTCAGCTGCCGTGATTATTCTACCTTTGTTACGAGAACAGAAATAAATTTCATAAGTGAAATTTTAATGCAACAACTTTCATCATAAAATTTATCTGTAGAAGCAGCAATTTGGCAACCAGAGGTCATGTTCTACACTGTTTTAGTCTAGTGGAAATTTTATTCCTGTAGATTTTATGTAAAATCACCTACCGGTCAAAATTCATACTTTAGCACAGATTGTGTCAATTGATATTTAGATACTAGTTGAAAGTCTGAGATTCAGAAACATCTTTTAAAAGTGAGATAAGTGAGAGAAAAGTAATATAGATAATTAGGCTGAGTAGTCACTAACAGTGATTGCTATTTTCTCAAGATTATAGTGTTTTTGACCCATTTTTCTGAGGAATAGTCTGTTTTATCCTTGATAGTGAAAGCAGAATAGTATTCTCGGGACTAAAAAAACTAGACAGGTTTCAGAAACTTAATAGAATTAAGACTTATGAATTTTAATGTATATCTACCATAGGTAGGGTAAAATTTTAAAACAAAATTTCAGTTTATCCAGTTATAATATTGTCATAAAATTTTAGCTGAGCACTGTATTTCACTCTTGCAGTAACATACTTGCTTATTAAAAATTACTCCTAAGTCTCAATATAATGCTGCCCTTCAGGTCACTGCCAGAGGGTTTAACATAGCTGGGGTCTTTTTTAGCATATTAGAATAGCTAAATTACCTTGGATGATATCTAAGTTAGATCCTTCTGATAGCATTCTTTATATAGAATGACTGCTTAATTGTGAATTGGTTATACTGTGTATTTTGTTTACTGGAAGCAAAAAGGAGCCAAACTTTAGTTTTTTAAAAATATATAATATCTTTTGTGTTGATAGAACAAAGCAAAAATGTAAATAATTCCACTTTCCTGAATTTGTTTTTAATATAATATTATCTGTGCAAAATAAAGTTTTTTGGGGTTCTTTTTAGTTTACACATTAGGCTTTAAAAAGAGGAATTGCATTTTGTTGGATTAAGTTTCTTTTGATCATAATATAATTTGATTTCTGTAATTGTTTATCCCCCTTTTTTGTTACATGTTTCTTTCCATAGCCATTCTTTGTCCCATATGTTAACCCGCCAAGGTATTACCCTGGCAGTTTCCAACATCTCATCTCACGTCCATCTATAAAAACGAGTTTTTCCAGAGATCAGAACAGTGGCCTAGTAAGTATGTGAAGGGTAATGAAAATTTTGATCTAGATACATATAGATGACCTTAAAAAATAAGTCTGCTAATTTCCTTTCAGTACAAATAATATAAATTATTTATCTCTAAGAATTACTAAGCTATTGCTAATGCAAAATGTATTTTGTTTATGTTTAATTAGTAACTATATAGACGGAAAATTACTTTCAGTGTTAGTAAATATTAACTTGTTTGCAGTCATAATCTTCTGTTTTATAATAGTTTTCCTGTAATTTTTAATGAAAGTTGCCATCTATAAATTCTCATTTAATTTTCAGTGGACTTGAACATGAAATATCTAAAAATACTTACTATATTATATAAATGAGAGGTATTGAAAGGCCATCCTAAAGCATTTTATTAAACAAGTTAGTTAAAATTATTTTAAAAAAATATTATAAGAAAACAAAATACATTTTGTATTTAAATATCCTTTATTTCCAGTCCTTTGTGATAACTATGTTTTATTCAAATTTAAATAATTTCAAAAGAGAAAATAAACTACCTTTATGTATCTGTTTAAAGAGAAAAACACACTTCCCCCTTAAATAAATTTTTTCTGAAAAGAAGATTTAGAACTCAGAAAAGTTAATTAACTTACCTTTTTAATTCTAAAATAATGTTACTACCAGAAAAAGTTATTGAAATTTTTTTTAAAAAACTTAATTACATCTATAAAATGTTTACTTAACATTATGATACTCTTGAACATCATTTTCATTCATTGTCATATTTTGGTTCAAGCCTTAATTGATTTACCCATATTGTATTGTTTTGTTGTGTTGTTAGGAAGTTATCAAGGAGGATGCTGCTGAGGGGCTTTCTTCACCCACAGACTCCTCAATGGTAATAACTGAGTAGTCATGTGGTGTGGAACTCTAGCATCTCATTGCTTTTCAACAGTAATGATCTTATATTAATTGTAATTTTAGCAATTCACTAACACTGCATTTGTGTTGTGATGGGCAACTAGCATAGCATAGCTAAACACTAATAAGTTTAGTTTTTTTTTAATAAATTTAAAAGCTAGTATGTTTATTTACCCTGTAAGTCCTTTCTTTCCCCTATCTTACCTCTTCTTGAATTACCATAAAATGTATTTTTCCAGTTTTATTATTTATTTTCATTATTATTTATTTTTGCAGTTTTTATCAGTAGTTCATCACTGATTTGTAAGAGCTCTTGTACATTCCTAATTCTTTAGCACTAAATCTTTTATAACTAAAGTGTAATTTATCATTTTACTCTAGTCTTTATCACTACCATAATGTTGTTGTAGTTAGTGCTATATAGACAGAATAATTTTGCTTTTAAATACCCGGAATAGTCATTCAAGAACTACAGTGTTGAAATTGGAATCATATTCAGTAACTCCTACTTAAACCTGTGTCTGCAATTTGTACTCATATCATAAATGCCATATTTCTTTCTTTTCTACAGTAACCCACAGACTATATATAGTAAAATAAATTTGCTGCTAGAAGTACAAGGATATGTTATCATAAAAGAACTAATAGTCTTTTTTCACTAACATCTTAACATATGAATTCTTTTTAGTTGCAAGAAATTTTAATATAAGATTTTTCTCGTGTTCTTGTGTTTAATAAGACATGAATTTAGCATAAGAGCTTTGAAATAAACACTAGATATATTAATAAAATTCAGAGTCCTCTTGAATTCATTCCATGTGCTTCCTGCTATTTAATTTATTTTATTTTATTTAATAGTGCATTATTGCACGTGTAGGTATGACCAGTCTTGGTTCTAAAGCTCTTTTAAAATGTGGGACAGTCGATTGAACTAATTTAGTGAATTGTATCCTGAATTCCTACATACTTGTGAACTTGATGTGCTTTTAAATCAATTTTAAGATTCCAGTTTGTATTGATGGTAGTAGAAAAAAGATGAAATTATTTTTGTGCGTCTATTGAGAATATAAATTCTTCTGAATCATTAACATCTCAGTAGATATATTCAGGTCTTTTCAATTAGCCTCAAATGATGAACGCAGTAGCCCATAATTCTGTTGAAATGTTTAGGGAGTTTTTCATTCATAGATCAATTGACACTGTATACCATAATAGATTTTACTTACTTTATTACATATGTACATGATTACAAATGTTATTCTTTATGCTAAAAAATCTTGTGAAATATTTATGAAAACCAGACACAAGCATACTTTGCATATTAACCCTGGCTAGCATTGTTTAGTAGTATTAAATAATAATATTCAATCAATGCATCATAACCAAATTTCAGTGTAATGTCTTGATACTTAGCTGTAATATCATTAGGTCAGTTATTCTGTCAGTTGGTGATAACCTCAGCTTAACTCATAGTAGTCTTAATTCCCTTTAATATCAGTGTGCTTACTAATGACATTGTTCTTTATGTGTGCATAAACTTTGTTCAGGTCAGACTAATTTTTCCCTTGAAAGTTGAGTCACCTAATATCAAATGTCATCACAAGTATTAATGATGTTAGGTGAGATATGCCATCATTACGACCAGCTTAAGAGTCGTAATAGTTTGAACATGTTAAATTAGTTAGCATTCTACTCTAAATAATGTATAAATAAGAACATTCTGTGTTCTTTCATTTAGGAATAGTCTTCAAAGTTCATTTTTGAGAAAGGAGAAAATATAATCTAAGTGAAATGTTTAAAAGATGCTAAAAATAAGAATTAATTTTGTATTTCTGCCTGTTTCGTAAATTTGCTATACCATTTTGCTGTTTATAATATTAAAAGACAATGCTGTCATGTGCCTAGTATATGAATTCTTTGCTTTAAAAAAATTATCAGCTACAATAGCATATGAGATTGGTTTTTATAGACTAGAGAATTAATTAGTAAAAATAAGCAAAGACATTGTTCAATTTTTTAGGAGTTAACTCAGTAGTGGAAGTGAAAAGAAATCTATAAAGATGTTTTTCTGTGATCTTCTAACCAAAGCAACATATAAAATATTTTAAAATATAGATGATTTAACTAAAAGAAGTATTTTAAAAATACCAACATTTCATTATTACACTTCATTCTTGAAAATTATCTCAAAAATATATTATTTTAAATTAAATTTTTATAGGAAAAGCATTAAATGTGTTCCTGATCAAGGGCTAAATAAAAATAAGACAAATAGTAAGTGAGAAAATTAGAGTAATAATAAAGCCCTCTATTCATTTTAAATAATAAAATTAGGCCTCAAGTTCTACAAAATGGGCATGTGTATATTGTTGACAGTTAGCAACAAACATTTTTAAACCACTTGTTTTATGCAAAATACTTTGCCAAGTTCTCAGGATATAAGAATTTAAATTGGCTTGGTTTCTGACATCAAAGAGTACATTTCTTTAGTACATCAGTACTTTTTCATGGGCGTGGTAACTCATTCTGATAAATATCAAACCTCCTATGACTTATGGGCTTTAAGTGGGGGCTTTAAGAGATGGACTTTAAGAGATGTTGTAACCAAAAAATTTATTACGCTGAAGCCTGGTAATGACTACCCATTGTACTATGTAGGTATCAGAAAATGCTGCATACTTCAGTGCACTTTTGTGGGTGTTCCATACATTAGTGCAGATTTCAACCTAATCATGCCATCTTATCAAATATAATTCTTGTTGCCCATTCCCTCATAGGATCCTCCACAAAAAATTCACCCTACCTGATACAGGTATTCCTCTCGATCTTTTATATTTCATGAATAGCAATTGAGCATTTGTCATGGATAAATGTAGTAGATTAAAAAGTCTCACTCATTTATTGGAGTTCCTAATATGTTATCAACATTCAGAGGTTAACCCTCAGTAATTTGGATGGTGTTTGCCTCTTAAAGAATGATTCCAAATGTAGTTTGAATCCCAGTGCATTATTTTCCTCGCAGTAAATTTTCTTTGGTAAGTGGTGACATTGAGAATCATTCCGTAAATTGTTTTGAGCTGTACTCTCAAATTTCTCAAGTGGATTTTCAGCAAATGCTTTTTGTTGATGATGGTAATAGTATTTCATTATTTAATTTTAAAAAGTAAAGAACTTTTCTAGTTCTTGATTAATTGATAAATCATTTAAAAGTAAAGCTGCTCATTGTCAGACTAAACAAAGAGCACCAGGAAATAATGTGCTATAAAGTCAGTCTGTTATGTTTATTTCCAGTGCCTCTTTCATTTTAACAGCAATCAACGTTACTTTCAACTTAAGAACAACCAGCAACAACAATCAAAATCATAAAAACAATTACCAGGTCTTTAGAACAGTGATAAAATGATCTTCAAAATATTTTTCAAAGACTTATTAAGATTGTCTAGGAAATAAAAATATGTATGCCTTTATGTTCATATATTAGTTTAACCTAGAATAAAGAGATAAATGGATGTTTAATTAGTTTCAAACAAGTAGAAAGCTTAAGTATGAAAGGCTTAAGTTGAGGAGTTACCTATATATTCCTTTGTTCACTTCTGGTTTAGAATATCCTAATCTGCTTTTTAAAGAACTTTTGTCCTTATACCCAAACCATACTTTTTACTGTCTCTGCTTAGGAGGAGCCCAAGACAAGAAAGATAAAGATGCCATGGGTAAGGAATAGGGTGAATTCAGAACTGTTTTAAAGCCTGTTCAGTGTAGCTGCTCATGTTATCTAGTACTCATCAGTTCTTGTTAGTTTGTGAATCAGCTTGAAAAATGAAAATGATTAAAAAAATTTTCAAAGAATAACCCCATGCCCCCTTTTTTTTAGCTCAGTTAGAACCAGATAAGTTATTCTTTATTGTCTTTTGAAGGGTAACTTTAAAAAAAAGTAATTTATCCCATACTTGATACATATATACGTATTTGTACACACATATACTAGTTTCAGTGCCTTGATATTATAACTATCAAAAACTTAAATGATAAAATAAATTTCATTTAAGTTTTTTGTTTTTGTTTTGCTAGGCAGTGGGGTTAAGTACTTGCCCAGGGTAACACAGCTAGTAAGTGTCACGTGTCTGAGGTCGGATTTGAACTCAGGTCCTCCAGACAGGGTTGGTACTCTATCTACTGCGCTACCTTGCTGCACCCCATTTAAGTTTTATAAAAGTTCAGTGATTTTCAAAAGATTGCCTTGAAAACAAACCTTACAAATGTAGTGTTATATAAAACCTGTCTTTCAGACTCTCTATCTGCCAATTAATGTTTCATTTGTAGCTATGATTTTGATTTGAAGTAACAAAGCCCCATTTTCCTACATTATTAGCACTAGTTTGTTTTTTAATGAATTATTTCCTTATAGCAAAATAATACCAGTTTCAGATACTCTTAAAGTATCCAGGATCAGTTACATTCACAACCATTTTGTGTAGTTTAAAGTGCTCAATCTTGGACACTTCAAAACAAAAGTATGATGTTAGTAGAACCATACTACAGGGACATAATAAATAAGCTTTAATGAGTTAGTGTTGTCAACTAACTTGATATATTAACAGCAATACAAATTGTTTTAGAATATCTAACACCTGTAAGGTTTGATAATAAGAGTAATTGTCGCATGCTTTGACTTTAATTAGAATTTTAAAAATCTGCATTATTATAAAAACATATTAAAAATAGCATATCAATGCTTCCCACAATCATTTTTAGTTTCTTACTGCATGCAATAAAGGATTTTTCCGTAAAATGCTGTGGTTTGAGGTTGTTCCCCATACTCTGTAAACCTATTGTGAATAATAGAGCACTTTCTTTAAAATGTATTCCTGGACATACTCAGTGTTACGTAATGTTCATTTGAGTTAAAGAATTTTGTATATTACCGTTAGCAAAATAATAGAACTTTTGTTGTTAGAAAGAAATAAAAAAAAGTAAATAACCCTCAACTGTAATTTCTCAAATTAGGGAAATATTCTTTATTAATTTCAAACTGTAATTTTGTAATTACATTTAATAATCGGTCAATTCTGAAGTTTCACAGACTGGATACATCTGAATTTCGCTTCATATAAAATGTCTAAAACCATGTCAGTATTATATAGCAAATAATGATGTCCCATAATATATTGTTATAGAGTTAGATTCCAGGGTTTGGGTTTTGTTTTTTTTTTAAATAAAATGAATGATACAAGTGCTATTATTTATTTTAGTAATTACACGTTATGTTTGATGTCTTCATCTTAATATTATCTTTCATTCTGTTTTGTTCCTTTCTTAAAGCAGTGTAAATCTGGGTTTAACAAACAGAGACAGGTACAGCAACTTTTTGTGAATTCTCATTCACTTACCTTATTAGAATTGTTTAGAGGCTATCCTTGGCACTTTCAAGCTGGGCTGAAAATAAACTAATGCTCATTTTGATTTTTTTGTTTAGTTTGAAAAGCTGCTTTTAGCTTTTTGCATGGCATGAATTTCTGGCTAATGATTTCTAAGTATATTTATTAAAGAAAATAAAACTAATATTCCGTCAAAACATGTTTTGACACAAAATAAATTATCCCCAAAGTAATTTAACTTTTTAAAAATACCAGACTCTTTAAAAGAATGTAGGTGTTGCTTTTATGAAGAATAATTCAAATTTGTGTGTAACTTTTTGAAGTTTACGTTTTAACAAGTACTTCCAACATGCTATTTTTTGTACTTAATGTTAAAATAATTTTTTTCTTTGCCACTAAAGCTTGTTGACTTAAAATAAGAATACAGTTAAATTTTAGTCTTCCCATTGAAATAATCCATATGTTCACTCTGGATCAATACATTTAAATATTTTTAATTTGAAAATAATTGAAACACAAATTGGAAAAAAATTAAATTAGCTATATTTATTGGTACTTTGTTACGTCTTTTTAAATTTCCTAAGTTTTCCACCAGTAATGACATTTATGTAGTACTTTAAGGTTTACAGAAGTCTTTCCTTATATAGCAGCCCTGTGAGGTAGGTAATATAGACAAGGAAACTGAGGTTCTGAGAAATTAAGTGACCTACCCTTTGTTGTTAAACAGCTAGTAAAGTTTTGAGGGCAGGATTTGAACTCAGATTTTTTTTTTTTACTCCAAAATGTTCTGTCTACTATACCAAAAAAATCTGATATGGTAGGTTATTTTTATTCAAGATCCATTTCAGGATAATTATGATCTGTGATTATTGTTCTGGAAAGGACCTTGCAGTTAAAATTAAAAGGTATTGCATTAATTGATTCCAAACTTTCCAAATATATCTTACTAATGAATTTTAAATGAGCAGAACTTTTATTTATTCATTATGGATAGATTTTTAATATATCACATAAGTGGTTAGAATTATAGTGTTAGTGGTTTTAAAAACTGCCTAATAGTTTAGTTTTTTAAGCAGTGAAGATAAAGTAATAGCAGTGTGAATTCTTAGTATTTTATTTTTTAAAATTTTTTATTATTTTTAAATTTTTTTCTTCCTTTTGTAAAATATTTTTGTGTTCCTTAAAGGTGTCTACTTATCTTAAAAAAGTATAATTAGAAGTGAATGATTAGCTGAGAGACTTGAAACGACTTTGCCATGTTTTTTAAATTTAATTTTATTCTTTTCATTTAACAAAAATCTGCTTTATCTCCCTTCTACTCCCTCAATTGAAAAACAAAGGAAAAAAAGGAAAAAAAAAACCTTTATAATAAATGTGAATGATTAAGGAAAGCAAATTTGTGCATTAGCCATGTCTGATAAATATGTCTCATTCTGTACTCTTCAGTCCCTCCTTTGTCAAGAATAAAAATATCATCATTATTTCTTTGGAATTATGGTTGGTGATTACATTGATCAGAGTTCTTACATCTTTCAAAGTTACTTGTCTTTACAGAGTTGTTGTGATTGTATACACTGTTGTCCTGGTTCTGCTCACTTTACTCTATATCAATTCATACAAATCTTCCCAGGTTTCTCTGAAACCATCCTCTTCATTATTTTATGGCACAATGGTATTCCCTTATATTATGTTTGGTTCAGCTATTTCTCAGTTTATTGGCACTTCCTTTCTAGTTCTTTTATGCAACATAAGGAACTCCTAAAGATATTTTGTTCATATCAGTCCTTCTTTGATCTCTTTTGAGGATTAGGCATTTTTTATAGCATTATTGGATTAAAGGGTATGCACAGTTTAGTAACCTTTTGGACAGAATTACAAATTACTCTACGGAATGGTTATTCCAATGTCACTCTGTAATGTTATAGTTAGTTTTTATTTGAGAAAAAAAATTCAAGTAGCACAGAGATACAAGATGTTATACATAATTTAAAACAAGAAAACCACAGCCTAGAAGGCTTTTCTCCAATGCAACTTCTTACACAAATACGTTTTTAATAATATTTTATTTTTCCCAATTGTATCTAAAATAATTTTTGACATTTGTTTTTTTAAAATTTTGAGTTTCAAATTCTCTGCATACCTCCCTTCCCACTCTCCACCCTGAGATAGTAAGCAATTTAATGTAAGTTATACTTGTGCAGTCATGCAAAACACATTTCCTTATTAGTTACGTTGTGAAAGAAAACAACTCTCCCTCCCCAAAATAAAGAAAGTGAAAACCAGTATGCTTTGATCTGCATTCAGATTCCATTGTTTCTTTCTCTGGAGGTAGATAGCATTTTTCATCATAAGTCCTTTGAAATTGTCTTGGATCAGTGTAATCCTGAGAATAGCTAAGTCATTCACAGTTCTTCGTCGTACAGTTTTACTGTACAATGTTCTAGTTCTGCTGACTTTCACTTACATGTGAGTCTTTAAAGGATTTTCTAAAATCATCCTGCTTGTCATTTCTTATAGTACAATAGTATCCCATTATAATCATATACCACAATTTGTTCAGCCATTTCTAAATTGATAGACATCCCCTCAATTTCTAATTCTTTGCCACCACAACAAAAGCTGCTATAAATATTTTTGTACAAATAGGTTCGTTCTCTCTCTCTCTCTCTCTCTCTCTGTCTCTCTCTCCCCCCCACCCCTTTAATTTTCAGGATTTCCAATTTGGTGCTTATTTGGGGGTTTTTAATTTGTTCTTTTTCTGTTTTTTATAGTTGTATGCCCATTTCATTGATTTGTTCTTTCTTTATTTTACTGATGTAAGCATTTAGAGATATAAATTTCCTCCTGGTTTGGCTGCATCCCGTACATTTTTGTATGTTGTCTCATTGTTGTCGTTCTCTTTAATGAGGTTATAGATTGTTTCTGTGATTTGTTCTTTGACCCACTCATTCTTTATGATTATTTAGTTTCCAATTAATTTTTAACCTATCTTTCCATGACTCTTTACTTAATGTAATTCTTATTGCATTATGATCTAAAAAGCATACACTTAATATTTCTGCTTTTCTGCATTTGGCTGTGAAGTTTTTATGCCCTAATATATGGTTAGTTTTTGTGTAGGTGCCATGTACTGTTGAGAAAAAGGCATATTCCTTTCTATTCCCATTCCATTTTCTCCATAGGTCTAGCATATATAACTTTTCTAAAATTCTTTTCACCTCATTACCTTTTTTTTAAAGCTAGATTTATCTAATTCTGAGAGGAGAAAGTTGAGTTCCCTCACTAGTATAGTTTTCCTGTGTATTTCCTCCCGTAACTCATTTAACTTCTTTAAAAATTTGGATGTTATACCATTTGATGCATATGTGTTTAGCATTGATATTGCTTCATGATACATGGTTGCTTTTAGCTTTTAGCAAGATGTAGTTTCCCTGCTTATGCCTTTTAATAAGGTCTGTTTTTGTTTTTACTTTGTCTTAAGATCATGATTGTTACCTCTGTTTTTTTTACTTCACATTTACAGTTATGTTTACTAACATGTATTTCCTTCCATCCTATTTTCCCCATTTATCCTTCTCTCTCTCCCTCCTTTGACCCTTTCCCTTCTTACAGGTGTTTTACTTCTCGCCACTGCCTCCCCCAATCCACCCTCCCTTCTCTTATTCCCCTCCACTCCTGCTTCTGTATAGGGTAATATAGATTTCTGTACCCAACTGAGTCTGTACATTATTCCCTCTTCGAGCCAATTCCGATGAGAGTAAGGTTAAAGCAATACTTGCTACCCTCCCACCCATTTTCCCCTCCATTGTAATAGCTCTTTCATGCCTCTTTTATGTGAGATAATTTACCCCATTCTACCTCTCCTTTTCTCTTTCTCCCAGTACATTCCTCTTTCTTATTCATTTTAGTTATTTTTTTGTCATCCTATCATAATCAACTCATACCCACACCCTCTATCTATACTTCTTTTAACTGCCCTTATAATGATAAAATTCCTAAGAATTACAAGTATCATCTTCCCATGTAGTAATATAAACAATTTAACCTTATTTGAATCCCTTATGATTTCTCTTTCCTGTTTACCTTTTTATGTTTTTTTTTTTGAGTCTTGTATTTGAAGATCAGGTTTTCTGTTCAGCTCTTGTCTTTTCATCAGTAATCTTGAAAGTCCTTTTTTCCTGTAAATGTCTATTTTTTCCCTTGAAGGATTACACTCAGTTTTGCTGAGTGGGTGATTCTTGGTTGTAATTCTAGCTCCTTTGCTTCGGGAATATCATATTCCAAGCCCTCTGATCCTTTAATGCAGACGCTGCTAAATTCTGTGTAATCCTGACTGTGGCTCCATGATATTTGAATTATTTATTTCTGGTTGCTTGAAGTATTTACTCCTTGGCCTGGGAGCTCTGGAATTTAGGTATAATATTCTTCGTAGTTCATATTTTGGGATCTTTTTCAGGAGGTAATAGGTGGATTCTTTCCATTTCTGTTTTACCCTCTGTTAGGATATCAGGGCAGTTTTCCTTGATGATTTCTTGAAAGATGATGCCTAGGCTCTTTTTTTGATCATGGCTTTTGGGTAGTCCAGTAATTCTAAAATTATATCTCCTGTATCTGTTTTCTAGATCAGTTGTTTTTCCAATGAGGTATTTTACATTTTCTTCTATTTTTTCATTCTTTTGATTTTGTTTGGTTGATTCTTGATGTGTCAACTTCCACTTCTCCAGTTCTAATTTTTAAGGAATTATTTTCTTCAGTGAGCTTTTGTACCTCTTTTTCCATTTGGTCAATTCTACTTTTTAAGGAGTTTTCTTCAGTGAATTTTTGTACCTTCTTTTCTATTTGGCCAGTTCTACTTTTTAAGAAATTGTCTTCTTCAGTGAATTTTTGTACCTCCTTTTCTATTTGGTTAGTTCTACTTTTTAAGGAGTTGTTTTTCCATCATTTTCAGTACATCATTTTCCATTTTTTTTGTGCTTT